AGCTTTCTCCGCCCCATACACGTTCGTGAGATTCTTGTAAAAGTTAGTCACGCTGAAAACGGCATGGATCAGCCTTTCAAAAATACACGAGAATATATGAAAGTGTGTACAGAGTAAAAGAGATTCTGCTATAGGATATCCCGTTCCTGCCATATTAATCTTTAATGACAGACGTCTCTTTGACGTACATATTTGATGTCAATTTTTCTCCCTGATTATAAGATGACAAAAATGGAGCAGTTTTAAATCCGTAATTTCGTTAGGGGAGGGTGTATAAAAATTAATTAATTTTGTAAATGTAATTTCATGTATAACTTACAATCGATTTCACTCGATTATCAGCCTTTCTCGACAACTATCGCGTTCCCCTCTCCAAGTGTCTTTAGAACTAACTTTTAAATTAGAATTTCGTTCAGGCGAAGTACATGTCAAATTAAATGAAAGACTGTTTTGTTTTACGATACAATTGACGTCTTTCCGCGCTTGGTTATACCGCAATTTTCTCGCAGATTGCGCCGTATGTTCTGTACAGGACATTTTATCCTGACATTTCCGTTCAGGCTTGTAACAGGTCCCGCTCGCTCGCTCGCTCGCCCACCTCGACTGGCATATCTATTTCACCGTTTGGTCCTAAGGGCGCTACGAGTCCCAGAGTATTAATAAATTGCGCTGCATTGTGCTACGCTCTATGCCGGTTCCCACCTTCGCTTCCTGTACCCACCATCACCACCCATTCTCATCCGTTTTCTCGTCTTTTTACTCGCCCGCCCGCGCGCAGCTGCCGCGACGAGTATCTCCCATCGGGATTACGGACGGCGCGTCGGAGAACGCGAGCGAGGACGCGACGGCACTATCGCTTCCAGAAAAGCTACCGGATGGATTTAAGGGATTTTAGGAAAATCGTCAAGGTCGACGCGAACTGCGAATTTGACTAATGCCGCGAGTGTTACACGATTCTACGGCGCTCGAAGGAAACGTCGATCATCGCCGCTGAATCTTTGCTTTTCAACTGATTTGCCTTGATATCGCATTTAGTTTCGCTATCGAAAACTGTGTCATGGAAATCACGATTTTCTAAGAACGTCTCACGCGTTGATTTTATTTTATTATTTAATTTTTTTATTCACGCTGATCTCGTGTGATTTTTAACTGATGTCGCCTGCAGTCGTTCAGGCTGAATTACTTCGAGTTGGGCGGACTTGTTCACAATGGAACGCTACAAAAGCGGCGATGATCTGAAGATTCACGCGGTAGTTTCTACGCTAATCGCGCCGGAAACGAATCAGTCCAATTCGCCCATCGTCTTCCTAGCTTTATTGCACCGCCTTCCAGCTGGAAGCTGGAAGTAAAGCGTTAATGGAGCGGATGACATAGAGCCAGAGAAGCAGGTCGGAGAGGGACTATCACTCACGCGACTGGTAACAAACGCACGGGAAAATTCTCCTCTGTAGAGTCTCCAAGTCTCTACGATGGTGGAGCGAGAGATCGCGTCAAAGTTGGGCGCTTCGTCATTTTTAGTAGCGACGACGTGACCTCGCGTTTACGTCGTCATCTTCATGAAGAAAGTCGATTGCCAGTAATATCTATAGGAGGAAGTCCATATATCTGAGAATTCAACGTTTTGAAAACTTATAAGAACGTATATATTTTAGACATACCTAAAGTTAATTGTGCGTTTTCCAAAAATTTGCTTTCATCTCTAATTGTGTAAATATATAGTCTTATACAAGACGGAAATTACAATAACAATAATATAGTTTTTATGTAAATGTACAAATATATTTTGTATATGTGATATATATCAAATCTATAACTTTAATTGTAAATTTATTTTTGCGAATTGTGTTTAATTATTATAAAAACAATAATTTTATTTATAAGAGTTACAACGTTACTTATGTGTTTGTAAACATACAGGTACTTTTAATAGTGAGTCCCAAAATTACCTACTATAATTGTAATTTTTTTCAGTGTATATTACAGCCGTAAAGTCTATGAAGTTGTTGTTGAAAAAAATACTTTTGACTATTATGTATATTTACTTAATTAATCAAATTTATATTTCTGTACCATAAATTATTGTCAGTAAAAGCAATTAACGAATTTATTGACCAAACGAAACTTTACAAGTATCTATGAAGTTGTTGTTGAAAAAAATACTTTTGACTATTATGTATATTTCTTAATTAATCAAATTTATATTTCTGTACCATAAATTATTATCAATAAAAGCAATTAACGAATTTATTGACCAAACGAAACTTTACAAGTGTATGAACGGAGATATATTTTGTACGATACATCGTCGAATTTATGATTAAATATTATTGGCAGCACCTTGTTTCCGTGACCGCGAAATAATTGAGAATATTATCAAAATTCCGCATGGTCGAGCGAGAATTTCAACGGGCGCCGTTCGGCTGCACTTCGGAAGGAAGAAGCCCTCAAGCTAGTCCTTCACCCGCCCTTGTGAAATTTGCGTCATGGAGCCAACGAGCGTGCCGCGCACAAGTTAGACGTAAAATTGTTGGCGGAATACGGAAATATGCGAACGGGCCTTCCGGCGTCGTCGCCAGCCGAGTTATAACGCCCGCTAGTGAAGCTGGCGAGGCATGCTCCATCACGTCTGCGGAATATCTTCGAGAGATAGCGATAGTCTGGTATCTCCTTCTGCGCCTCACTCTTTTTTTGGCTACATAGGGTAACCTTGAAACTGGCATTCACGCGAACAAAATTGTTTAATCAGTTGATTCTTGGCGCATAAAAGATTAAAAACAAATAAATTCCCGAAAATTATATCTAAAAAAATTAATATAGTAAACAATATTTTAATCTTCTTGATCTATAAAAGAATAAAAATTCTGAATTTAAATTTTTTATTGATAATTAAAATTTGATAAAGTGTAACATTACGAAGAAAATATTAAATAAAAAGAAAATGTAAAAATTGTTAAGCTTCTGAAGTATTGCCTTATTATGGAGTAAGAACAAGTCCACAGTTTTTCAAATAAATGCACATGATATACATCGGTGTGTTCCTGAAGAGATAAAAATGGCTAAAATGAAAGAACTAGGGCAAGTAATCCTTTTTCACACGAAAGATAACTCGAGATTGAGAGGAGCAAGTGATGCACTTTGCCACTCTTGGGCTACTTAGATCCTCGAGAAGTCCGGAGAACGTCGAAGAGTAGCTGTCTCGAGCTCACCGCGAAATTTCGGATAAAGCTCGATGATAAAATAAAGCTCGCGCTCTCTTCTCTTTTTTTTTTGCGAATCGCGCCCGAGTTTCTCACGAATTGCTGTTCAATTTTCGAGTCGCGGCTCCGGAAGGCAGGCGCCGTGGAAGAATTTCAAGTAGGCGACACGTGTAAAGTATCGGTGGCGCAAAAACAGCTTCGGGAAGTGATTCTACTTCGCGGCGCGATGCAGTTTTGGTTGATTCCCGTTTCCGCTAAGTTCCGGAAAACTCCGCTGGCGAAAGTTGCGCCGTTTCAAAAGCATAGGTTCTTACGATTTCCTCTTGAAGTGTCGGATCATATCAGAGTAATGCGGAAACTGTGCTTGTGAATCATAGATACATGCTGTTGTTTGCACAAAACATTACATCATACAATTTATTTAGTATTGTGAAAAATTACTTTATAATAATGCAGAGCAAGAAAGGCATAATATCATACATCAGTTTTAATTTCTTAATCTAATTTAAATTTAATTTAAATTGTAAATTCAGTTTTCTTGTTTAAAGCTAGTTAATTATTTTAAAAGGTACTTATATGAGAGAATAGATATGAATATGTATATGTAAATAGAAATAAAAACGCTGTAAAAGTTTTATACGTAAATAGGAGAGAATAATTTTTCTCTAGCTTTTTACCATTAAAACTTTAATATTGAATGAACAAAACAGCAATGTATGTGCAATATATTACACATTCAGCTTCAATACTTCCTATTTTTCTTTTTAATTGAATAAGTATCTGGTAATTAATTAATTATCAGATAAATAATTAATTCATTCTAAATAACAGATCAACGATTAAATAGCTTATTAATTATTTTTGGTACGCGCGATACATTATTAGAGCGCAGTTGCGCTTAGAATTATAGACAAACACTTCTATCGACCAAACTGAAACGTCGCTACTCTATATAACGACGCGTAATGTCGCACTATACATATAGATATAATTATAACCGTCTGGCGTTCAATAAGCTGCCAATTATCTCTAATGGATCGCGTTAAACTTCTAAAATGAGAGGCAATGTTGCAAGCGCCGCCGTGCGTGTCGTTCATTAATGTTAATTTTCGATTCGGTAATCTCTGCTCGCTGAATTCAAAAACAGGAGCCTTTGATACTGATGTCGACAAACAATACTTGAAAAATCAGTTATCGATGCCGTTCTCTTGTTACGATAATTTTACCGTTATTAATATAATGAAAGAGTTTCTATCCAATTTATCTTTAATATTATTAACATTAATGAAACATGGTATGCCGAAATCACATAACAAATAATTGTACTAATAAATATAATATCTGAAAATTATGATGTATAATTTTTCAATTATTTATTTCGGAATTTGAGAATCAACTTTGATTCTCCATTTTATTATTCGTTCTCAATGGACAAAAAATTTAAAAACAAATTAGATTTCTCTTATACTTGTTCACGATGATTATATTATCTATCATGGGCGAAAGTGTTAGGGAAACATTTATCGTCTGCAGAAAACACCGCGATGAATGTAGACGAGATTTAGCAAGTTTCGCCATATAATTCAGGAACGACACTTCAGAAGTTACTGCCAAACTTGTAAGTCGAAACGATATCGAGTCGCAGGACCATCGAAATGCCATCGAAAAGTCGCAAGAGAGAGACTTGTGAGCACCCTCTTGCCTCTTGATGTTTACGTCTGCATGAGGACGCGGTGGCGGTGGCGATTCTTTTGAACTCTATTTGAATCATGACAATAAGAGTGCTTTATTTCTCGGTTTCAGATCGGTGCCCTGAAGAATTATTACCTCTTCTCTCACAAGCGATTACACAAGAGATCCCTCACTGCGAGCGAACCACATCACAAGGCGCTCAGGGATGAACCGCGGGTAAGTCGACGCATCCTTGTTTCTGCTAATTAAGAGACATTAATTACGAGTTGCACATGGGAACGAGATTTGATTTATACTCAAAGAGTAAGACGTAATGTTTGAGAGTCATGGTAGATTTACTTCAGGTCTGTGAAGTTGAGGAAAAATTTAATTAGCTTTAGTTACGGTATTAAGGACTTTGCTTTTACTAAAAAAAGAATTACATTTAGTATTAAATTTACGTGTGAAGAACGAAATAACAGAATGTGCAGTCGTAAGAAACAGAAATAAATGTAATTGGAATAACATAATTATAATCACAAGCGCTATACCTCTTTCACATATATTAACGTTTTATAAATATATTTGACGGTTGATGCTAACGAATATCGATATCTACGTTATTGTAACAATTGGTCAGACAGAAAATTCATTGCTATAAGCGCCATTAAATCACTTGGTAAAACTTGACCTCTTCACGATCGGTCAGCTTAAAAGCGGCGTGCATTTCGACAAACAGTTTAATTGGCCAAGTCCGTTTGAAGCACGTTAACGATCGCAAGAAATACGTGTTCTGGCGAGTGAACTGAATGTTTGGCCGAATCGAAAGAAACCTCAAAATTATAAATTAAGGCTTCTGCAAGGACGAAAATAATTTTCTAAAAATAAGATCTACGTCGATTTTTAATAATTTTTTTTACAATCAAATTGGTTAAAAACGTTTTTGTATCAATTTTTCTTTAGTAATTTTATAATAACTTTATGAAGTTGTTGTAATCGTGTCATTTCGTCTTATCGGAAAAATAGTTTTTTATCTTTGCAACTGAGAGAGAAAGAAAGATATTTACTGCAAAGTCTAGAAAATGTCAATAGGAGTAAAATGTTAGAAAGGATATGAGAGTTCTACGCTGAGATGTTTTGAAAACAAGCTGTGCAATATACGTTACGTAAATAATAAAGTCCTATAAAAATGTTACCTTTTTTCTCAGTATGTAACCCTTGCGTTTTTAAAAAATCATTTTCCCGTTTACATGCAGTTTTTTTATCGTTAAATATTCTGTCACGCAGTGACAGAATATTCAACGGTAACGGTATACCTCACAAAGGATCGCAAAATGTGTCTTCCTTTTTGATTGACCAGAAATGTGTTTTTGTTCAGTTCTAGTCTAAATTTTAGTGTTGTGGTAAAAAACGTTGAGTTTTAGCTATAAAAAAAATCACAGTCAAGGATGGAAATTATTTTATAACTGTAAAGAAAGAAACATTTTTTAATGGGATATAGAAAGGACGATTTTGTTAAAATATTTAAAAATTCACCTAGATCCAGATTTGAAAACAATGATGTTGAACTATTTAATTTATTATATCGTGCAACTTGGTTGCTTAAATGTCAAAACTTTTTGTAAGATTATCACGTTTAAATATTCTAAATAATTATTTTGATAATCTAATATAATTATTATCAGTATTTGGGGTCTAATTTTTATAGATTTCAATATTCTCTTTTCGTCTAGTAAAATGTTTTTATCATTTAACTCAATAAATATAATAAAAAACATATATATTTTTGATGTTATTTTTTGTGAAAAAAAAAAAAAACGATATAATTTACTTGCATTATTATTCAACGATAGTAAATCATAAATCTGTAGTAACCGTAAATAGTTTATGAAATTCTATCCTTGTAACTGTAGATTTTTTCCGAATTTTTCACTATAATATCACTTTAGTACTCGCGCGGGAAATACCTGGTGGTCGCTTTAAGTGCACTCTCGGTGAAGCCTCGTCGTCCCTTCTCTCACGAGGACGTAGCAAAATATCTCACTGTTTCGAGAGACAATATTGTCGTCGCCGCGTTTTCCGCCATTGTCCTCGTCTCGATAAGCTCCTTCTCGCGGGTGAAAATTACGGAGTGGAAGGATAGGTGAAGTGGTCGGGAAAATATCGTGTCGAAGAGGGACAGATAGAGAAAAAGAAACAGAAATACAGTTCTTCGCATGCATCGCGGGGGATCGCGATATAGCATTAATTATGAGCTGATACTCGCGGAGAACACGTTATCGTGAGGAAAATGCCATTTGCACGGGACGAACGTGCGGAGGTAATTTCCGCGCGAGATACATTTTTTTCCGAACACGCCGCGCTCAGAGATCGCCGGGATTTATGGTTGGTAAAGTCACGGATACGTGACCGGAAAATCTCTCTCGTTTTCCCGACGATCGTGACTGGTTGCTTATTAATTGTGCAGCACGCTTAGTTAACCGCTTAATTGTTCGTTAAAAAATAGATTATCAATGTTTCATTTTATTGCTCATTTTATATTTCGACAGAAAAGTGTCGTGTTCATATCGATGCGAACGAAATTTATTGTGAATAAAAAAAAAGAAAACACCTTATTTTATTTTATTAATTTTCGTGTTTGGAATAGCATCGTACTACTTGAGAAATTGTTTTTCCAGAATATTAGAAGAAGGTATGTATATACATAAGAAGGCATATATATATATACAAAAGAATTCTTTACATAATTTTAGTTTAAATTTTCCAACTTTCTTTATTGGGATTATTACACGGACTAATTAAATTTGAAAATTAAAATTCCACGTAACTTTCATTAGATGGTTTGCTATCAGAATAATGATTAATGTTGGCATTTAAATTTTATTTAATTTTTCATAATGAAACAACTCATTATTTTACGTTCGATATGAATCAATAATTAAATGGATTATTTGATAATTTGTTTGATCGAATATTTATGTTAATATGTGTACCTATACATGAAACATATAATGTTCATTTTAATAGAAATTCGTAAATATTGGTAATTAAAATTAACTTAAACAATTACAAATAATCTCTACTTAATTAGTGAATTTAGTGATATTTTCTTCAATATTTGAAATTTGTACTAATATCTACAACTATTTATAATTCATAAGAGAATACGGCAACATCTGCTACTATTCGACTTCACGACTGCCATAATCGTTTGATTTTAAGGGACTTTTAGCATGTTCAATAATCGATATGGAACAGCACATGTACCAAATTTCCTATCTTACACTCATTGTGTTAGTTTGAAAATTCGGAAATTTCTGCATTGGCGCGCGCCTTCAATACGACCGTGAAACTAACTCGGTTAATCCCATCGTATTTGGAGCCTCGCCAAAATTGCGTGAGGGTCGTGAATCTGTCGACGGTACCGAGCATCGAATCGTATTGCGTGTCTGGGTCCAACACGAGGATATGAATGAAACGGGAGGAACGCGGCGCGCGCTAGAATTAAAGCTCGTTCCCCGAGGCGTTTTTCGGTGATTGTTCGATTTATGACCCTCGATTGAGTCAATCTGCCCTGGTGAATTTTCCACGTCGTAGTGTCGCGATATATAGCTGTCTGGCCAATCGACAAGACAATAAACAACGATGGTGTCACGAGTAGTTTTGTATCTTAAAAAAAAAAATGGGTAATTTTATTTCTCTAGCTCTCTCTCTCTCTCTCTCTCTCTCT